CGGGCACTTTTTGACATAGTCCTGTGCGTCTTCGACCATAGTAGGCCAGTAATAACCATGCCTCAGTAGTTTTCGAGCCAAAGTTCTGCCACCAATGTGCGTGCCACATACTCCCTCGTGAACTTCTCTCACGGCGTATTCAGCCTCGTAAGGAGTAAGGCAGCGTAATAGGGGCATTGAGGCTGCTCGCTTGTAGAGCTGGTTATCTAACACAGTGAAATGGGCCGCCCTGCGTTTTATCATCTTTGCAGCGGAGTGGTCTTCAGGCAGCTCGCCACTTTGCAGATAATTCATAAGCGGGGTGGTCCAGCTCGATATGGAGTGGTCTGTACTCAACAATTGGCACTCGATTGTGAAATCAGTGTAGCTCGGTGCGTCAAGCACCTCAACGATTGTTGATCTTTGAGGGTTAACGTCCTGCGAGGAAGCCAACTTTGACAGCTCGTCAGCTCGCTGGTTATCTGTCCGCGGTATTTTGTCGATCTGAAATGAAGCGAACCTGGACTTCAATGTGTTGACCACAGAGGCATAACGACCGAGCTGAGGATCCCTGATGTCGCAGTTACCATTCACCTGGCGGACTACGAGCTGAGAGTCGCTGAAGACCTGAACGCTTTGTACCTTCAGCTCGTCCGCCAACTTCAATCCATATATGAGGGCTTCATATTCTGCAGCATTGTTGGTCGTCTGAAACTTAAACCTCAGCGCGTGCTCAGACTTGAAGCCATCAGGGCCCAGTAGCACAGCTCCAGCACCAGATCCTTCGACATTAGCAGCTCCATCCACATACAAAACCCAAAGTGGGTTTTCAGGTGCCTTGTCTTTCACAGTCGCCGAGGCACATTCAACTAGGAAGTCTGCCACAGCTTGGCCTTTTATAGTTGTGCGCGGCTGAAACTTAAGGTCATACTCACTCAGTTCGATACTCCATCCGATGAGCCGACCAGAGAGCTCTGGCTTCTGCAGTATTTTCCTTAGCGGGAAATCAGTATAAACAACAATCTGGTGCGATTGGAAGTAGGCTCTCAACTTACGAGCTGTGTAAACCAGGGCAAAAGCAGCCTTTTCCGCTAGTGGGTAGTTCTGCTCGGCGCCTTGTAAGACTTTGCTTACATAACAGATAGGCTTCTGGTTCTTATTCTCTTCCCTGAGTAGGACCGAGCTAATCGCCTCTGCTGTAACCCCT